TGTGGAATGACTGCTATGCAATCGAATGCAGTAGGAGAATGCAATGGAACTAGATAGATAACATGAGGGATTTATTTGGCCCAAATCGATTAAAAGCGTTTTGAATCAGTATCTTCATGTTTTAGGGCCGAATTCAGGCTTCAAAAATGACAAATTAGCGATCTGTAAGAAAACGATTTCCAGATTTAGGATTTAGGATTTAGGAACGGGGAAGACGGGCACCACACCTTTACCATTTGGTTAATTGGTTTAGCTGCGTCTCCCCACTACTTGATCTCAGCCGTTTATTGATATTAGCAAAAAGATACATAATTTGAAATGAATACAAAATTTAGAATGATACATAATTGAAATGAATACATAATTTGAATTGAATACATAATTTGGAATGATACATAGTTTGGAATGTAATAAACAATAATTGAAGCATAACGTATAAATAACAGAATTTTGAATGTAATACAAAAATTTTAAACATAATATATGACATAACTCTTTAAAATATGTGCGGAATTTTGAACATAATATGCGACGAAAAGAAATAGTAGTGATGAAGAGTAGTTTGGAGTTCCAACAAAAGTCTATATTTCAAAATCTATATTCAGAATTCACAGTTCAAAGTCTATAGTCCACATTCTATAGATATAGTACAAAATCTATAGATCAAAGTCTGCAAGTTAAATACTTTGTTTATGTAATTCATGTATATTGCTCAAATTTGCAGATTTTGCAAGTCAGTAGGATGTAGTCGGCTCAGTAGGATAAGGTTCTTACATTCAATAAAAAAAAAATTTTACAATACAAACTGGCTAAATAGTTGGGAGCCCGATGCAGGCTAATGTGACAAATTCTTACTACATTAGATTAGTTCAAAATAAATAACTAACATGATGCCATCAAACTAACATTTACAATTTCTGGTATGGTAAAGAGCTGACAGAAATAATACAGTTGAACATATAGTACAATAGTACATAGTAACATAGTGTATTGATAATGCTAGATTTGTTGACTGGATGATAATGCATGCTAATATAATATAAAAAGAAAAGCATACAACAATTATTTTCTTATAAACAAGTAGATAAATGAGAAATGCGTAAGAACAGTAGAAAATACAGTACAGTACAAACACACCAACATAAAATCTGTATAAATGCTTGGCTCAAAATTCGATAGGTAAACAAGAACATATACAAATGCTATATGCTATATAATATATATATAATATTTACTTTTTAGTTAAAAAGTTGACAGATTCATACAGCAATAGATAGTACAATGCAATTAACTAACATGATGCCAAACTAACATTTACAATTTCTGGTATGTTAAAGAGCTGACCTAACGTATAGTACAATAGAACTTGGTAACATAATATACGGATAATGCTATACTTGCTGACTTGATAAATTATAAAAAAGGGGGAAAAAAACAAGTAACTAAAAAATGCATATGAAACAGTAGGAGAGTACGGAACAAACAAACAAGTTATCTGTAAAAATACTAGGCTCAAATATGCAATAGTTAAACAAAAACATATACAAAGGCAGAAAGTTGCTTACAAACAAAGAAGAATTTGCGGAAAAAGCTATACTTGCTGACTGAAACTATCCATATTGTCAACAATAGCTATAGTACCGATAGAATTATATTACTGACTGAATGCGATATTTGCAGACCGATTAGAATTATTTACTGATAATGCTATACTTGCTGACTTAAGAATGAAACTAGCTAACATGACACAAGAAACAATGATATTGAAATTGTGTACTAAATAAAAAGTAGACAGATTCTTACAACATGAAACAGATTTCAATGTAATTAGATTAACATGATGCCATCAAATAAACATTTACAATTTCTGTTATAGTACAAAGGCTCACTATAGATTACAATAGAACATACCAACATAATTTACTCATAATACTATACTGAATGAAGATACTTGTAAGCATGATACAATGATTAAGATAATGATTGTCTTATAGACAATCAACTTAATAAGAAAAGCATACTATCGATAGAAGAGTACAGTACAATCAAACCAACGTAAGAACTATGTAAAGGCATGCTTAAAAAAAATAATAATAATAATAATAATAATACAAAATAATACGAATAAAAATATATATATATATATATATATATAAATTTCTAACAAACCTAAAAAGGTGATAGATGGAGTTCGATACACTCAAACTAACGTGATGCAGTCAAACTTACATTTCATTTGTTATTAACAGTCTAGCTACAAAAAGCAGATAGTACATGGTTAATACATTTCCTGAAAAGTATTATTGTCTATAGAAATATAGCTTTAAGTACAAATCAATCTAGAATAAGGCTGTGTAAAAGTTGTATATAAACAGAAGAAGAACACTCTATAAAGTGTGTCCTTACACTATCCGCAACTAGAATGGTATAATAAGAAGAAGAGCACCCTGTAGAGAGTGTTCCTATGTCACCTATTGCTAATAAGACATATAGTGTAGATTAAACTTGACATAGGTCAAGCCCAATGCTGGAGACTTTCTCCATTACGCAATTTAGTTTGCGGATCAGGTGTCTTTGCTTAACTAAGAGTTTGCAAAATGCCTGATGATTTTGCGTAGGAAATCGTATGTGTAGGCCTTTTGTCAGGGGACATTTGGCTAAATAGTGCTCTGGGGAGCCGAGTTCACCACAACTGCAGACATTGGTGTCACTAATGCCAAAGCGTGCGAAGAATTCAGGAAAAGGTCCATGCCCCGAAATGTAACAGGAAAGATGGGCATTCTCACAGCAGCGATCTGTTGACACATATGAAAGATGGTAGAAAGTACGTCGACAGGTGAGGCTATTGTCCCATTCCTCTTGCCATTTACTAATTGCTCGAAGACATAAAGTTCTCTTGAGAAAAGAATGTGACCAAGGAATGGATATATTCTCATCAGCATCACCAGAAGCCGCTTCCTTGGCATAGACATCTGCAAGTTCGTTACCATATTCTCCCACATGCGCTTTAACCTAAGCAATATGAATAGTGAAAGACGGAGAAGCACGTAAGTCCTGTTGAATATCTCGTATAATTGGAGAGGAATGATCAGGATTGCCAATGGCGTGGATAACAGAAAGGCTATCAGAATTGATTGTCGCTTGTGTTATATTCTAAGTCAGCAAGTAGCGGATAGCGCATGCTATCGCCACTGCTTACCCTGGAAAAACACTATTCTGCATAGATAAATGTCCCTTCCAGTGGGCTAGAGGAAGATTATCATGAAAAGCAACAAAGGCGCTTCCTACGTTATCATCTATCTTTGAGCCATCAGTATATATCACGTGGCTTGAGGAATTACGAAACACTGATGGTGGAATATGGAGCCTAACTCCAACCCCATAGTCTGCTGGATGAATACTAAAAGGTGTCAATTTTGCTTCATAGTCATCAGGCAAATAATGTTCTCCATCAAATGTGATAGGCCTGCGTAGTTGCACAAGTAATTGACGAACAGCCTCTTCCTCAGTTCTAATATGAAGAGGGAGTAGAGTAGACCGGCTAGAACATTTAGTGAGTCCGAAGAAATTGTATGATATGCTCGAGTTATACTCAGGACAAAAGGGCGTTGGATGGTTGAAAGATGTTTCACTTTTCTCCCCTGCATGGGAAGTGCCCAAACAGCAGCGGCGTAAGTGACAATCTTTTCTGTGACAGTAGTATAAAGAATTTTTTGGATATGGTGGTTTAATCCCCACCGATATTCCTGAAGATAAAAGCTGTTTGGCAATCATCTGTGTTCGTTTTTTAATGGACAGAATATGTGGGATCCAGGTTAACTTATCATCAATGATAGCTCCCAAATATTTGATTTCTCTGAGGATTTGCAACCTGTGGCCATTGAGGACAATTCTTGGTCGCCTGACCAAGGAACCTCCTTTCTTAGGTACAAGAAGTACCTTGGATTTGTTTTCAGCAATAATCAATTTCAGATTATCAAAACGCTGTTGAAAGAGTTGAAGAGACTCATTGCAATTTTTCTGTAAAACTTCGTGAGAATGTCCCCGGATAACAAGCGCCACATCATCGGCATATGCATATACATGCGTATGATCAGGCCAGGGAACTTGAAGGATCTTATTAAAAGTGAGGTTCCAGAGTTGAGTACCCGCACAAGAACCTTGCGGGCATCCTCGTCTGTACTTTTTTGATAATTCCCGCTGGATGTACTTCAATAAGACGTCTGTCTTGCAAATAGTGTTCTAAAATTTTATAAATATTACTCGGACAATTGGAGTTTACCAGAGCTTGCTTAATAGCTACCCACCACAAACTATCAAATGCACTTTTAAGATCTAAGCTGACTAATGCGGTGTTGTAGCCAGAGAATTTATTATTCAGGATGTCTTGTGTGATATCATGCAGTGCATGTAATGTAGATGAACCGGGCCGAAAGCCATATTGTCGACAACTAATAATTTGGTGCTGATGTAGATGAAAATGCAAACGAGTCATCAATATCTTCTAAAAAATTTTCCCAAGCACCGGAAGTAGGCAAATGGGTCGAAATGAAGTAGCCTCAGTCGGGTTTCTATCCTTCTTTAAAAACAGAACAACCTGGCCTATTTGAAAAGACCTAGGAAAAGTACCAGTTGCCAATAACTTGTTGAAAAATATAACAAAAAATACTGGTGAGGCCAAGATGGCAGTTTTGACAATGGCATAGTCAATGCCATCCGGGCCTGGAGCTTTCCGTTTCGGCAAATGGGCAACAATGAATTTTAATTCCTTTAAAGTAATTTCTTTGTCCGGAGACGCAGTGGATGAGAGCTCTTCTTCAGATATCGATGAGTGATGGGAAGTACCCTCATAGAGATCAGACGGTCCAAAAACAGTATCCAAGATATGAGTCAGAGTATCTTTGGTAAAATCTTGTGAGGCTGTTGAGCCAAGAGGAAGAAATAATTGAGCAGGTTTGAATAATTTGCCTGTCATTATCTTATGATGAATCCCATATGTATCATGCGAATTCGGTACAGAAGGCATGCCAGGAATTCAATTTCGCTTGTAAAATTGAACGTTTATATTTTGCTCTCTCCTGTTGATATAGAGGGAGCGAAGTTGGTGGCAGATGCATTCGTCGCTCATATTTGATTTGCCGTCGTAAAGCGCGGCATTTCTTCTGCTGGGAACGAAGTTCACTGTTCCACCATTGTATATTATTTAGCTTTTTGGCATGGCGTTGTGGTAAAAGATCATTACAGATTTGTTGAAGACCCCTTTGTAAAACAACCGTGAAATTCTCCAAATCAGCCCGAGTATTGGCTGAAGAAAGTTGACCATCGAGATCATTTACTAATGCTTTCACACGATCAGTAAAGCCACGTATCCGTTTGCCTGGCAGATTGTAGCGTCGAATAATTTGAATGGTTGTAGGCTGAGCTATTGTAAATGTAATATAGCGATGATCGCTAAGACTAATTTCATCTTCAACTGTCCAGTTCTGGAGAAGAGAAGCCGCAGAAGTGGAACTAATAGTAAGATCCGGCCATCCACTTGAATGAATTCTGTCAAAGTTTGGAGAGGCATCAATTGAATTATGTAGAATTAAATGATGTGCTGATAGAAAATCCTCCAAAGAATGGCCTTTTTCATCCGTTGAAGCATAACCCCAAGTTGTATTATGGGCGTTATAATCACCCACAATAAACTGAAGAGGGATTTTAATGCGCTGTAGAGTAGTTGATAGAAAAGTCAATGAAGGAAGAATGGACTCGGATGGAGATGAATATTGTGAAATAAAAAGCATGGAGGTTTCCTGTACATCAAGAAGAATGGCTACATTGTCCCTATTAGCTGCGACGACAGTCGGTTTCCAATCCCTTATTGCAATTGATAATGATGGCCCTGGGTGGTTTCTCCAAATCGCCCTGTTGAAAGACAGACCACTGAAGCAGGAAAACCCACAGCAAGTCCGTCCTTAATATAAGGCTCCTGAACAAAGATGAGATCAGCCTCACGTTCTACTGCGTAATGCGTAAGTTGAAGCAACAGCAGCCTTAGCGTGTTGAAGATTGATCTGTATACATTTTAATTGAAAGTCCACTGCGGATAAAAATCCATGTTTATAGTATCAGCCATGCATTTCCAATAGAAGGCAAGGACTGATTATTAGTTCTCATGGTTTGTCTTATCTCGGATGGATTGCACACGACGTTGGTACTGGATACAGGCTGAGTCGTAGGCAGGATGGTCGTAGTCGAAACCAGTTCCGAATCGAGCATTGGCATCACTGCAGTTGATACACAGTGGATTTTGCGCTGTACAGTCCCGGATGCCGTGCTCCTCAGCACAGTAGGAATAAAATTGTTTTTGACTCTTGCAGTTGGCTTGTAGATGACCGAACTGCTGGCATTGGAAGCATCTGCTAATTTCAATGTGTTCCGAGACTCTTTGTGCCTGCCAGCCGAGGAAGATCTTGTGTTGTTGCATAAGTGCACAGAAGCCTCGTGGCTCGCACTCGAAGATCCACTTAACGTGCCCTTTACGGAGCTCTCTGAGTCGATGTAGAGGCTTGAAGATGTTACTGGGCATGCCAGTGGCACCACTGATTTCGGCAGCGACATCCTCTGGCTTGATGGATTCGGGCAGGTCATGAACTGCGCATCGAGGTCTGTGCCGGCGGGGACGGCTAATCTCCGCTGGGATGTCCTGGTTTTGGATTTCTTTTTCAAGGACATTGGCATCATCATTAGAGTTACACATCACCTCCAAACCGCCTAGGCGGGTTTTAATAATTCTCTCAATGCCAACCTTAAGTTTTGAGAGAGGAACTTTAGCATTTAATTCAGCTTTGAGCTCAACTTCTGAGACGTCCGCTTTGGGATTAATATATATACGAGGCTTGTTATGTTTTCTAGCAATCTCCGCAAAAGTAGGTATTGGAGGAGCAGGCAAAGATGTAGACGCCGGTAAATCACTTAGCAAAGGAACAGAAGGTAGTGATGGCGAGGAATGAGCTAATTCGCAACAAAGTACTGTGGAGGTGTTAACACCAATATCAACCTTGGCGGCAACCTTGGGCTTTACTACAACATTGGCACTTTAATACAAATTCAGGACCCGCTGAAGCAAGAGTTTGTAAAGCAGTAAGAGAATTTAAGAGTCTAGTGCTGTAAATCCGTGGGCAGCGAAAATTTTGAACTTTCGTTTAGTAGTTGCAATTCTTCGAATGTCGTCACACAGTGCAGTAATTTTATCAGTATGAGGTAAATCAGATGCCAATACTAACGTAGGATCAAGTCCATTTTCTGGATGTGCTGAATCACCGTCAATCGGGAGAAACTGATTGACAGGACATATTTCAAAGAAGAATTCTGTAAATACTTAAAGTACTCGATGACTGATCAATTGTAAAAGTGGCACGCAGTACTTAATAACCTAACAATGTTGGGTGCACTCCAAAACTTGTAACAAACTTGGTCGTTAAACTTCTCTGTTTTTCATCTGTTTTAACACTTGCTGTAATCCAAAAGCTGTTATATTCAGGTGGTACACACTGAGCACACACTATTTCAAATTGCAAGTGAGTCACAAAACACAATTTTTACTAAGTCCAAAAATTAGTGCAAAAATTTGTATCTCCGCTTCTAATTAACGGATCTGTTTCAAATTTGGAAATTTGAACCTTCCGTGATCTTATTGGAAGTATGGCACAAGTTTCAAGTTGATATAATAATTAGCGGCCTAATTAGCAGTGGCCTGATTAAAAGCCTTACTATGAAGAAATTCGCCATTGGATTTGGCCTTGACAGCTTCCTCTCCTCACGGGGGGGGGGAATGCGACCGTTACGAAGCTTCAACGGTCAAATCGTCTTCCGAATCGAAAATGCTTGCTATGTAATTAGAGTAATTTGGCCATAATTAATTTTGCAATTATCCAATTGTCTTCACCACATATCTTGAATTGAAGAGGGAATTTATCTCTACAAGATGATGTAACTTTTGGTTGCGACGGATAACAACAGCTCCCTCAGAGGACTTCAAAGGTGGTATATCTGCTGGGAATAACACAGCTCAATGCTAATTTGTTGTAAAAATTATAATTAGAGAACTAATTGACCCACATATACAAATGAGGTATCAAATTGTTCCTGTTGATCTTAGGAACAGATAGCAACTACTACCAAGTCGATGTGAGTAAAATTTCCGTAGTTATTGAACTAAAAGACGGAGCTCAAATAGTGCGACTTACCCTCACGATTCAGAAACTTGTTCCAGATGACGCCGATCTAACCTTTTAATCTAATCTGTTTCAACATTCATAAGGAGCGCCCGATTATCGAAACGCTTTATTAATTAAAAAAAATATAACCATGACAAAGTAGTCTCGCCCTATTTCGTTTAACAATATTGCATACAGCGCCATTTCTCCCTGGTGGTGAGGTTTCGAACTTCCTTTTTTTCGCGGAAAATAAATTCCCGTGATCTCCTTTACACGATTACCAAGTTTGATAACATTTGATTCAGTAGTTTTCCTTTTATGACCGTTTAACTGGGGAACTTTAATTATAACCACTCTGTATATTAATAAATTTTAATTTAAAGCTATGCGTTATATGTATACCATGCGTAAAATTTTCGCTTTTATTGAAAAATAAAGAATCGAAGCAAATATACTTAAGATAATGGACAAAAACTGAAAAAATTTCCCCTCCCTCCGAAAATAAAATTTTGAAACTTCGACCTTGAATTTATTGGGTTATCGAAATATTTAATTTGACTTATCTTCTAAGTCATAGTTCCGACAACATTTCCGTCAAAAATTCCGAATTACTTAAGCTGAAGTAAAAGATTTAGTATATATTCACTATATGTTAATAAAGTAATCAGAGTGTAATAAAAATAGATTACAGAATTTACGCTGATGCATTTTTTTGTCTGACTGCACAACATGTAATAGAAGAGAAGGCTTGTAGAGTTCTGTTTTTGACATGCCTCTAAAAGAGACACTAGTAGCTTTGATGTCATACTCCTTTTACCTCTTCAATGTCAAAAAACTTTCTTTTGAGAGACAAGTTTAATTTTCGGGAAAGAAAAAAAAAAAAAAAAATCACAAGAAGACAAATTTGAAGAACATGCAGGACGATTGAGTACACATACTTATTTTCGGAACACAAGCGGTTCTCCGACTGGTTATAGAATAATGAAAAGATACATTGTCATGCAATACAAAACATTTGGAATACGTTTTCTGACTGAAAACGTAAGATTTAAAGTCATCTGCTTAATTCACAGCCATTTACAAGTCAACTACTCGGGCAATTGCGGAATCGTTTTGATCCTGAGCTTGTAGGACAAACCTAATATCACTGGATTTAAACACTTCTTTAATCTTTCCTTCTTAACTCATATTCCAAGAATATTAAGTGAATACAATTATTGCGAAAGAAATTGAATATTCATTTGCACTACGGCTTGATAGTTTACTAACGAGTTAACAAAACTTAAATTCTGCCTTTTGTGTCTAAGAATACAACAGTATTTTAAATATTTACAAATAAAATATTAAATTGGATATTTAATTGGAGCCTCACCAGTTGCCTAGCATTTGAAAAATGTTAAATACTAATTGTTTGTTGCGAAGTCTAACCCAGGCTGCATAGTTGATTTTCGTAGTTTACTAGGGTCTCTTTACAAAGTTTCTCCATGAAAGCATCTTAATCAAATAGCTGCCATGTTCTTTCTATGTTCAAATAACCAACTAACTTAGTTTAAGCGCGATTTCCAAGTGAAGTTACTAGCAAAACCCGAATACTCATTAAAAATCACGTAGCTTGCCAATGGGGAGTAACATGAAAAATACGGCGCCAATAATTGAATTGCTGTTACGGTATCCTTTTTCTAAACTTAGATGGTCATTCCTTAATTAAATATAATTGATTTGTAACTTCTACTAGAGTTGACGGTAAGAATTGAAGTGTACTAAATAATATCGTGTGCAATCTTGATTAATATAAAATAAAAATATTTGCATAGAAAAATATTTGCATTCAGACAGAAAGATTTTGAAATATTTGCAATTACTTTATAAGGATTTATTAATAAACATAATAATTACTTATTATATTACTGATGATGAGGATTCAGTTCTTGACAATTACATTCTAAATTAGAATTTTAAGGATATAATGAAAATACGATACGCACAAAAATACATTTTAGGATAAAAAAATGAGTTGATTTTTTATGTTTTGAAACTTCTTAAATTCATTCAATAAACATCGTATCCTCGTTGTTAATTGAATCCAGAATGTTGGGTGTCGTTTATATAATTATTCTTACTTGTCCACAGAACCTGCTGACTTAAGTATTAAATTAATTAAGTAGCTGCAGATCATTTCTACATAACCATTGAACTTCCATTAATTCAGTCTCTAGAGGGTTGTATGTTTATATCATTATTTGACTTTTATAAAAATGATTATTCTAAATCTTATGTTTCTATAAAAATATACTGCGCTTTAAAAATATGGATTATAGTATCAGCCGCTCTTTCAGCCACTTCATAAGCAACGGTTTGTTTAGAAATAAATTATGCAGTTAATGTCATAAAATATTTTCATAAAATTCAAATAAACATCAAACGAAAATTCTCAGTTTTAGACAATTCGATTTAAACGAAGTAAAGTAGGATAAAACGCCGAAGGTAAAAATTTACTCTTACAAAAATTTACTCTTATTTTTTAAAAAAAAAGAAGAAGAAAGAAAGAGAAAATTAAAAAAAAAAAAAATAGTTAAAAATTTGAA